TCTCAACCTCTTCCGGCTCATATCCTTCCTAAATGAATGATTCAACAATCTCTCTCCCTTCACTGACTCTAAAAATTCATGAATCCTCAGTGGTACAAGCGGAGGCCTCAACTCATTATTCAATTCTTTCAGAAACTTGTAGCATTTTTCATCTATAATAATGATGAGCTATGGAATATACCTTCTTAGTATATAAATTTATCTTTGCACTGCATCACAGTCTTTTCTCCTTGGTCCACCCTCATGCACATAGTATTATATTTTTATATACAAATTAAATATAATGTTAATAAACAGTCTTCCTTGCTCATATGCATATAGTACATTTATTTCATATCAGTTGTATCAATCTCTCTCATGCATGAAATGCAATATAAATTGTTGAAATTTATAAATCCAGAAAATCTAGATATTAATCTATAACTTTAAAAAATCATAAATTTCATTTTGCTCAATAAATTTAAAATTATCATAATCAAGGTATTCATGAAATTCATATCTATTATATACGAAGAGTTATACGAAAAAATATGGTAAATCAAGAGAAAATGTATTTTTATTTATTTAGAAGAGATGAAATTTGTGAAATTCAAAATTATTTAAAACTAAAGTGAGATTCGAGTCCCTTACAAAGATGATAAGACTTTTCCTAACTGAAGTAATGGATGAAAATAACCAAAATTAGCTTTCTCTTTCTTCCTTCTCTCCTCTTCCTCTCCCTTCTCCCTTTCCTTCTTGAGCATGCCACAATATTTAGGACAAAAGGCTTAGGATTTTGGGATTTCATATATATAAAAATATTATTTCTGGCCTAGCACTACAATGCTCTGATCCAACATCATAGTGCTGCATGTTAATTTTAGAATTATTATAGAATAGAAACTCAAATGCTGTGGTGATGATTTCTAGCGCCGTTGTGCTCTCAAGTCTGATTCCATAACACTACCAAGCAAAGCGCTGAAACACTCTAGTTCTAACAGAAATTTATTTATTTATTTTTTAAATACTTTTTCATATTTTAGGTTGGTACATTCCATTTGACCATATAAATGTTAGGGTGACCTACAAAAGGATCATAAATGAGGTATTAAAGGAACAAAATGGTAAGAATGTAGAAGTTCATATAAGTGACCCATTGGTTAAGAGAAAGTCAACTAAACAACATATATTAACCTAAAGTAGCCCTTTAGTGCACTTAAAAGGTGCAATATATGACTTAGCCCTCTAAAGTGTAATTATGGTGTAGGCTTGGGAATGTTCATTAGATTCCTTTTAACCCTCTAAAATATATTTTTGGTGTAGGCTTGAATAAACTCCTTGTAACTTTGGTGTAGACCGAAGAACATTAAACTTAACCCGAGTAAAGTCAGGGCAATTCTCGAGATGTCGTCACTCAAAACTCCTTAGGATATGCAATAACTCATTGGTGAGTCACGAGCTTAATCATTTCTCCATATAAGTTGTGAGATGCTCGTTCTTCTTCAAAGGATTATAGAGATCAAAAAGGTTCACTTGTAGTAAAGAGTGTAAGGAATCTGATTGGGTTAGTTTTCAATCAAGTATAGGTTGGCGCCATATAAAGCTATGTATGATAGAAAATGTAGGACCTCTTAATCTTGGACATAGGTGGGTGAAAAGAATCTCATTGGGTTAGCTTTAGTTGATGACACTACTGAAAAGATTCATTTGATCAGGGATAGATTAAAAGCAATTAAGGATAGGTAGAAACAATATTATGATGCCAAGTATTGAGCAGTAGAGTTTCAGGTAGGAGACTTTATATATGTGAAAATCAGGCAAATGAAAGATATTGGCAGGTTTGGAAAAGAAGGAAAGTTGAGTCCAATATGTATGACCTTTTTAAGTAATTCAAATGATTAAAAAAATCTACCTACATATTAAAGTTGCCAAATCATATGACTAATATTCACAATGTAATTTATGTGTCACATATGATTAAGTGGGCATCTAATTCATATAATTAAATATATATAGAAGAAGTTGAGGAACATCCCAATCTAAGCTGTAAAGAAAAATCAGAGAGAATTATAGCTTATAATGTTAGGAGATTAAAAAATAAATGGATTCTCATTGTTAAAGTTCAGTGGAAGAAAATAATAAAAAGAGAAGTTACTTGGGAGAATGAATATGAGATGAAGTGGTTATATCCTGATCTATTTGGATGGTCTGCATTTTGAAATGTCGATGATGATACTTTTTTAAGGAAGGAAGAGTTAGAAAAACCTCTAGAATCAGTTTACAATTCAACCTATTCTAACTCAATATGAAAAAAGGAAATCCACCAAATTTATGCTTTTGAACCCTTTTGCATATGTTCGAAAGTATTTTATGTGCATATAAAAAATTGTATGTGTTTTGAAGTAGGTCCTGTGAATTTGTTTGCATGTTTTGGAAATCAAGGAAATTTCCCCTTAGGAATCGTGACACTTGGGTAAGCGGTGCTACAATACTGTAGCATTAAGCTCTTTGGAATGCTGGGCTAGTTAAGCTCATTATATGTGGTTAATATTTCAGGTGCATATCCTCCTGCGTGACGCTTCTTCGGTTGCTGTAGCTTTGTTTTGTATCCTTGGTAGACTTCTGTTTTGTAGCCGTATGGCTATTGTATATGACCTTTTGTACGCTTATGTTGATATGTGAATTATAGTAGTTGCTGTACTTCTTTCCTGTAATGCAATCGTCTCTGGATGACTGTAATGAACTGAACGAAAAACAAGATGAAAAGACTGATAGAAAAAAAGAAAAAGAAAAGAGATAAGAGAGATGGATGAATCCTTTCACTATTGATATCTGGGGCATCACATCTGGAGTGGATGAAGGAGGTTCCATTCTGGTGCTAAATGCATTATGATATTATATGCACACTCTAATTTGTTGGCGAACATTGGGAGCCATATGGGTCATAATTCTTTGAATTCAATCTGATGGGACTCATATGGGTCATAATTCTTTGAATTTTGTTTGATGGGAGGCATAAGGGTTAGAATTATATTATTTCTGTCTAATATGAAGCACTTGTTTATTTATTTATTTAGTATTATTATTTGAATTTTTTATAATTGTAATTATTATTCTGCTCAGCATATTGATTTATTATATTACTTTTAGCACTCAATTAAATGGTTAATACTATATTCATTTAAAAATTTAGATTGATAAGTGTTGCCTGCTGAGCTATGTTAGCTCATAATTATCCTGCCTTCTATTTTTCAGGGTCTGGAAAGGAAAAAGAGCCTGGTGACTAACAGGTTTAAGATTTGATTTTAGTATGTGTATGTACTTTTTTTTTTTGAAATTTTTGTACAATTATGACTAATCATTTAATCTACTATATTTATATTCCAATCTATAACAATGTATTGTAGTGTAATTATTATATATGCATTTGATGACAAATTTTTTTTTTGGATGTGTTTATTTTCTATAGACTAGAAAATATTTTAGTAGCTCTAGGTTTTATTGTTTATTATAAAGTTAAAATTGGGATGAAAAATCTAAATAATTTTCAAAACTCAAATCTTAAGGTTAGTTTGTTGCAAACCAACATGATAGGACCTAACCCGTTTGTGAATCTTATCGGATTGTGTTGTGTCATCTTATTATGCCGATTTTTTTTTTTCATCTCAAAGCGATAAGCCCAATGCTTATTTCAACAAGAAACTAATCCTTACTATGGATCATGCTTCTACATACATTTGTGAACTTTTTGCAATAATTGAAGCTATAAAAATGGAGACAATATCTATTAGGGTTTATATAAACAATTTACATAGACCAAATGAGTCATAAGGGTAATTTCTATGTTATGGTAGGAAAGCCTAAATATTAAGAAAACCCTAGGAGAAAGAAAATTGAGCTCATTAAAAAATGAGGTCAACAATAGTATAATGCCATAAGACATTATAAGTTGATTGGCATTAAACTATGTTATGCCTAAACAAAAAAATACAAATGATTAGAGGTAATCTATTCATGCGCCTAATGTCATGTTGTACTTTTATCTTTTGTACAAGTATTTTCTAAAGTAGGAAAGCATTATAAATAACCTAAGGCACAAGCATGAACTATACAAATATCTTTAGATTAAGAACCACTAAGATGAGAACTAGGAGATGCAAGAGTTAGTTTCTTATACACAATCATACCTTATTTTGTGTTTTTCTATTTATGTATAGATCTCACTTATATTGTATTTATGAAAAGCCTAACCACTAATATTTCTCTTTTTATTGTAGAGTATTGCAAAACCCAACTGCATATGGATATTCTCCTTTCCTTTTAACTTGTATATTATTTATTTTAATGGTTGTATGCAATTGGTTGCTATCTTACTTTCTTGATGATGCACTATATTACTTTCTTGATGATGCACTATATATTTGCTATCTTACTTTCTACAAAGTTCATCGGTATCTTAAGAAATCTTAAAATCAATCATAAGATAAAAAAATTATTGAAACGAATACATGATTTTCAAGACCACCTTTTTTAAAAGAAATGAATCCACTTCATGTTTATTTGGAAATGTAGCCAAGAAGTGGTGTTTCCTACAACTTTTTTCATAGGACCTAATTGATTTATTCATCGTAACATGACCCAATTGCTAGAAGGATTTTAGTCAAATCAACATAAGAACAAATAACATTGTATTATTTTTATTCGATGAAGCATACTCACACAAGATTAACATCAAGATTTGCTTATAAAATTTAGAGGCAGTCTTTGATCCTAAGAAAATTTTTCTCTTTTTAAGTGAAGAAAATACTCAAACAATCCTATAAATTTTAATATTTTATTCTTTGCACCCATATTTGTTCTATGGGTGGTAGATATGAATTATTAAATTTTTGAGTCGGATGTATAAATAATACAAAGTAAAATTGCATGTATGTAAATCCCCAAATTTTTAATTCAAAAAATTGATTTAGAAAAGTAATAAGAAAATTGTCCCAAACAAAACCTTAGTTTTCTAATAAAAAGATACAAATTTCAAGCAATTTAATATAAAAGTAATAAAACGAAAAATTTCAGAGCAAATGGTCTGCCAAACTCCTAATTACATGGAGGTATACCAGTAGCATAAAAACCAAAAAATACACCTGTTTATGGTCCCATTCATTAGGATTGTTAACAGATTGTATATTAGATAAGAACAGCATGACAATTGCAGATGGAAGAAGCAAATCAGCTTTCAGTGCTAAGAATGAAATGAACTCCAGAAGTAACTGACAGATTGAGTTCCAATAACTTTGTTCTTCTGAATAATTCACTTCATTGGACATGCAAAGAGTTCTTGAACGAGCTTTGATAGTTGCAGGCTTAATTCAGCAGGTCAACAGTTGATAAAAATGGCAAATCATCATAAATTTTGAAAGTGCTTGTCAAAGAATTTCACTGATGTTGTTAGATAATTGTCTTTGGAATGCAGACATGAAGTTGCAATCTCAATAAGCTTTGAACATTTCAAATGGAGCTCATGGTTGGCCTGCATAAGCAACATGGAGAATAAAAAGCTCATATTAATGAGTATATTAGAAGCTAGGGGTGTTAATATTTGACACGATCTGAAAATCCGACTCGAACCTTGCCTGAAAATTTTGGGTTATGGTCAACCCGAACCCGAAATGGGTAGAGTTCGGGTTCAACAATTCGACCTGTTTCAAAAATCGAGTCGGGTTCGGGTTGACCCTTTGACCCGACATTGACCCGTTTTGACCTGACTTGATCAATTTCTGACTCGAAAACTGGAGATTAACCCGTTTTTGGACCCAAAAAATAGCAGATTTTTGTTGGCATCGGGTCATCCGAGTAGTGTCGGGTTGACCCAAACCCGAAGCGGGTCGAGTTTGGGTCCAGAAAACCGACCCGTTTTGCGGGTTCGGGTTGACCTGAATAGTGTCAGGTCAAATTCGGGTTCAACCCGAACCTGAACCCGAACCGTGACCTGAAATTGACACCCCTATTAGAAGCTTTCTAGAGATGCATAATGTTAGTAGCTAGATAAAACAAGTAGCAGGAGACTACCTTGAAGTTAATGATAAGGCAGTTGCAAGCTTCAAGTGCCAATTTTCCTTTTGATGCCTTTGAAGAGAAAGCAAATATAAATTTGAAGTCTATCAAAGTCTGCATATCATTGACACATGCTACAAAGAGCACTCACCGAAGCAGGGTCTTGTTCAATAGCTTTGAACAAGCACTGAAGAGCATCTCTGGTGACCAACGAAATTTCTTGCTCATAAGACTCATCTCCAAAGAAGAACATTTGATCATGACCAGCAACCTGGATAAGCCAGTTAATTAAACTAGAAACATATTTCACACATTTTATTGTATGTTCCATATATGCTTCCTCATCATTAATTTCATTGATGTAAAATAATTAACGTTTCGTTTGGGAAGGCTTTCTTGCTGCTTTATAAGACAGCTTTTTAGAACAAAATTATTATATTCGAAAGCTGTTTTAAAAAGCAGAAAAAAGCCGTCCCAAATGAAGCCTAAATCTTCTAAAAATGACCGTTGATACGTCAGTTTTGGTCCAACCCTAGTGCATTCTTTACGCTTGTCTGTTCTTCATGACCAAATATATAGCAGTCTATTCTGGACTACAATATATTAGTAAAGGAACTGCAAACCCATCTATGAAAACCTCTAACTTAGGTAATAATATGGAGCATAGCTTTCATGTTTAGATAAAAAATGGACAAAGAATCATAAAATGTTGTGGGATTTTTTTAGAATATCACACTTCAAAGCTCAAAATCAAGTGCCTCGTTGTAGGAAAGACAGAAAATTGGTAGTGATAGTACTGATTTACCAATTAGAAAAAGTACCTTTTTCAGATATAAGAAACTAGTAGATCATAATTTATATGGAAAATATGATACCTTCATGTTTTTTGGAGGACGAGGGAGTAGACTTTGAGAAAGACATGAACATACAGAAATAATTGCACAGAATACTTTTGTCCTCATCTTTGAGGATGCCCTAGTATCAAAATGCAAAAGAGCATTAATAATAAGCTTAAAATTCATTTGCATTGTGCAGCATATCTGGTTGTCCTAAGGCGTACCATGTTTGATTGTCAATAACCAACATTAGACGCATTTGTATTTGAGCAATTCCTCCGTTAATACCTGCAAATGCAAATTTTGTCGCATAAATAAAATTAATAACTACAAAAAATAGTTTTTCTTTTTTATAGAACTTCATGTTAGAAAGTGCATCACATAAACAATTATTGCATATATGATGACATCACAACAGTGGCATCCTCAATCTGATTTAAAAGATGCAATTAGGCAACCTTTAGTGCTTTTCAGAATCGAAGACTACATAGTATTAGTAGAGAGAGCTAGAAGGGTGTAGGTTGACTTTCAAATCACCTAGAAGTGAAGAGATTAGCATAAAAGGAAGTATGTTGAAGAAGCCTAAGTTTAGTCCTAGTGGAGTTAGTATTGTCGCTGCCAACACAATCATGGATGCTTGTGCTAAGTGCGAAAGATTTCATGAGAGAATGTTTCATGGGTTCCAACACTTGCTACTGGTGTTGCCAGCTTAGAAACAATAAAATCTTGCCTTACATTGGTTCAAAGGATTTCAGGAGAGATAAGATCGGGTGAAGCACCATCACAAAAGAGCTTTGGCAAATAGAAAATGATAGAATCAACATTTGCAACTCCATCACAACTCAACCAAAGAAAAATGTTCGATCGCAAATTTATGCTTTGACTTAGCAGGACCTTAATGAAATTAGAGATGTTGATAAAGATGACTGAGATGCCTTTAATATAATAAATTATTATATTATATCAGTTGTTTTATTTTATCCAGTTATCTTATTATGTTATATCTAATATTTTATTTTATCCAGTTATGTATTCAATGATAAGGTTTATGTTGAATGAAATTAAAGATGTTATTTTGCTTTAGTGTTGTGTAGTTGCTCAATTTAACTCATAGTAGTATATTATAACTAAAAGTCATATATAAATTTTGAGTACGAAATTTTTATAAGAGGAGATTATAATAACCAGTTGGACTTGTTCAAATGAACTAGCCATAATCAAAGAGCAGACAAGCACATATCAAGCGAACAAGTGAGCCGCGAGCGAGTTCGGGCGTAGCATTTGAATGAACGAGGACACATTTAATTGTGAAAAGTAGTGACTCCTCGTGTTCACTCACTCCAATTAAATCACATGATTAGAAGAGAATTTGAATGACAGGAGGCTGAGTGAGAGGAAGAAGAAGGAGAAGGAAGGAAAATGAAGGAAATAAGGAGAGTTTTTGGGTTTTCATTACTGACGATGAGGGAGATCAAGAGAAAGAGAAAGGGAGCAGAAGCAAAAGAGATACCTATGACCAAGCCAACTGAGAGGGGGAGATACATGCGTGCAGATTAGGACTCGTGATTGGAAGCAACTAGAAAGAAAGGTAAAATATATTTTTAAGTTATATTTAGAGAAACAATGTTTAATTTATATAAACTTAAGATCTAATCTAATGTCTATTTATCACTTATTAAATTATTTATTAGAAATTTATTGATTTAGGAAACGTATTTGAATGCGAAAAGCAGCAACTCCTAGTGTTCGCTCACTCCAATTAAATCACACGATTAGAAGAGACTCTCAACGAGAAGAGGCTGACTAAGAAGAAGAAGAAATAAAAAGAAGGAAAATGAAAGAAATAGAGAGAGAGAGAGAGAGAGAGAGAGAGAGAGATCTTGGGTTTCCATTATTGACGACAAGGGAGACTGAGAGAAAGAAAAAGGAAGGTAGCGAGAGCGGGAGAAAAAAGAGATACATGCGACCGAGCCAATCGAGAGGGGGAGACGCCTGCGTATGGGTTAGGGCTCATGATTGACAATAGCTAGAAAGAAAGGAAAAGTATATTTTTTAAGTTATATTTAGAGAAAGAATGTTTAATTTATATAATCTTAAGATCTTACCTAATGCCTATTTATTTATTTTTTAAATTATTTATTGAAAATTTATTGATTCATAAATTTTTCCTCTAAAGAGATTAGCTATTAAATATTTGTTTATAAAATAATAATAATAAAATGGTTCTTAATGTTTTAATGAGATTAAAATTTAATATCAAATTTAGAGAATATTTCAAGTATAATAATGAGAATGCATTTATATAGGTATTAAGTTAGTGATGATAGACTGGTGACTAAAGTAAATTATGGAGATTGAATACATCCATTTCAAGGTGAGTATTTATGTATTTTTAATTACAATAATGATATTGTTCTCTCTTAAATTAAATGTATCGAAAGATAGTAATACTGCTTTATTAAGTCTTTATTACAAGCTAGATTATGATTTGTCTTTCTCATATCCAATGATTGATCATGTTGAGTTAAATGAAAATTAATATGTTGTGTTTCCAATTATTATACAAAGTTAATAAATATTATAAGAATGAAATGACTAGATAAGATATGTTTGTATGTGCATGATTGACTGATGGAGCACACCTCCTCATGATACTGCTAGGGACGTATTATACATGTGCACATAAATGAAAAAGATTATGAAAAAGGAAATGAAAAAATAGTACATTCATTGATACTATTTTAGATGACGGCTCCTGTGACTGTTGTATTATTTACGAGAAAGAATAAAAATATAATATATGCATAACATTAATGGCCATTTTTTAAATGAATTTAAATATATTTTTTTAATTTTTGAAAATGAGCGTGCATATTATTTCAAAGGTCATATGTTCATGTAATTTAGAAATATGATTTACTCACTGAGTTCTTTATGGCACACTCCTATATTTATAAATGAATAGAAGTATTATTCAAAAGCTTAAAAGGAGTAGAAAAAAAAGAGAATGTGTATTGTAGGTAAGACACTACGAGAGAAAGGTATTTATATCATTTTATTTTAAAATGTTTAGAAGTTTTAGTGGCTCTTTCTGTGTACTGAAAATAATTAGTTTGTAATTGAAAATTTTAATAAACTGTCCGGCGGTTTGTTACTGGCTCATTAATTCGATCCTTTGGGCCGGGTCGTGAAAATTCCAATGGAACTGCCTGCTTATTTTTCAAATAACGTTCATTCTATATGATGAACCTTCTCTGTCATTTGCAGCAAAAAATAGGCAGAGCCTAGTGATGGTTATAAAGGTGAAGGGAAAGAAACAAAAGGCATCAATTTCTTTTGCATTAACTTTGCCTTCGCTGGGTCCAGCTAAGGCCGCAGAACCAGCTAGGCTGGTGATTTTTAATGTTTATCCTTTCGGATCCTCTGCATTAAGAGTTTCACCTTGCAGTTATGCTTTTTGGCTATCCTTCTATACTTATAGCCACTGTGAAAGAAATTTTAGTTGACTTTGATGGTTGTAGCACCAAAAAGCTTTTGGATAAGAAATTTTAAATTATATATGCTCGGAGAGGAATAAATAGTAAGAAAGCATATAGTTACTATCCAAAATATACCTAACTCTAAATTTATGATGCACTGACGCTTCATGTTTAAGGGAGCATGCAGTGTCCGACATATGTCGGACATGGACATGCACCTGACATGCATCCTAAGTGTGCTGGACATGGTTGTTATGTGACCAATTAAAAAAATAGAACACGCGTGTTTGACACTCGTATCCAAAGAACTTCCAAAGCTCAAGTCCTGCATGCTCATCTCCCAACTTCCTCTCCCCTGTTAATGCCAATGCTCAATTCCAAAGCTTGACAATTGTCTTCCTTTCCCCACTCAATGCGAAAGCCTACCCAAAAGCCCAATGAGGCAATGATTGACATCCTTCTTTCAATATCAAAGCTGGAGATCCTCCAAATAAACACTAAATAATCAAAGGGAATGGAAACGAATCTCCTCCCAATAAATAGTCTTAAACTATAACTCCATAGGTATATTACATAACAAAATATCATTAATAAAAGAATTTTTAAATAATATATAGTTTTAATTTTCATTTTGTCTGTCATTTGTTTAAGTTGTGTTGTTTGATATTTTATATATATCATTAAGTGTATTGTGTAACGTGCAATAAAAATTTATAAGCAATACTATAACTGTATTTATTTTTTTTTTAATTTATATATAATATTTTTAATTTTAGAAATATAAAAATTAAAATGACATATCCAATGTGTGTTTGTGTCTTATATTTTCAATAATAGACATGTCCCGTGCTTGTATTGTGTCATGTCATGTCCGTGCAATCTAGCTCTAAATCAGATAGTTTTATAAGGAACATAGGGGTTTTCTCTTGTATTGGCCTTAAAGATGTATTTTATTTTTAGTTATTTTCTTCTGGTAATGTTTTCCATTGTACTCTTTTAATTGAATGATAATAAATCTTATTTTACTTTAATAAATAATGAAAAAATACACAACTGCATCAAAATCAGCTAAAATTTTAATTTTTCTATGAAGAATGGCTTTCATTTGGCATTTATTCACTGATGCAACAGATAGACCCAAATCAAGAATCATTGCAAGGTTCAAGTCTAAAGTGAACCGGAATAGTTCATGAAATTAAAATATATTTCTTTTATTAGGTTGTTTTATTTAAACTAGGTAGGCATTGCCTTTTTAATACTCTTAGGTTTAAATATCAATTAGGCATTAGAATTAGAAATGGCTTAAATTTATATTGTAACACTAACTCTATAGATATGGGTTAAACGGATGTATTTTGATTATTGAATTATGAATTACAATTGAATGATTCCCCCACCTTATCCTCTGAAGCACGCCTCATAGGAAGTAATACTCCCAAGAAATCTCTCTTTCAATAAAAAAAAAAAAAACATGCCTTATGACGTGAAGATCAAATCAAAGAAAAATCAAGAAGAAATCAAGTTTTCGTTTCATCATCAAGGACCCCATCAACATTACATCATATTCATCTTCTGTCTACATATAATTACCATAGTAGTATAGCCACTTTAAATAGATGAGGATAAAGAGATGTAAGAAATAGCTAGTAAATTATTCCATAACACCTAAAAAACAATCATCACATTGACAAATAAGGTTGTAAACGAATTAGTACATTCAATGAACAAGTTGATGCTCCTTTATATAACGCTCATTTATATTTGCTTATTTACATAATTGAACAAATTTAAACAATCTCAATTATTCATTTATATTCACTGACAAGCTTTTTTTTATAAAGTTGCTCAATAAAACACTCATTTAATTGCATATTAAATGATTCTTATAGATTTGCATCAACTTTATCTTTTCCTATACTATTGAAAAATGATGTATATCATTATAGATATAAATAAAACAACAACATCAAACCTTTATCCCACTACGCAGGGTCGACTACATGAATCCTTTTTCTCCCTTGTGTCCAGTTAAGTGTCAAATTCTCGTTTAAATCTAATAAAAAAAGTCATTATATTACTTTCTAACCTAGTATTTTAATGTCTACCTCTACCTTTCTTTATATAGACCAAATCTAATACATATACTCTCCTAATTGGGTTATTAGAAGGTTGATGTTTTATGTGACCAAACCATCTAAAGCGGGCCACAAAAGCTACTCCAACTTTTTCATGTATATACTCGTTTAGCAATCTGTCTCTAAGAGTGAATCCACTCATCCACTTGAGCATCATCATCTCTGTAACACTTAACTAGATTTTATGCTTCTCTTTTAATGGCCAAAATTCTATGCCATAAAGCATTGCAGGTCTTACCACCATCTTATAGAAATTTTCCATAAGTTTATGGCACATAATAGGCCCGATGCATTCTTCCACTTCAACCATCCTTAAATTATACTAATAATATCCTCATCTATTTCAACATCACTTTGAACAATAGAACCAAGTTATCTATTACTCTCTAACAGAGTATTTTAACGTCTACCTCTACATTTCTTAATATAGATAACATCTAATACATCTACTCTCCTAATTGGGTTATCAATAGGCCGACGTTTTATGTGACCAAATCATCTAAAGCGACTCTCTCTAATATTCTCTGCCATTGGAGCTACTCCAACCTTTTCATGTATATACTCATTTAGCATTCTGTCTCTAAGAGTGAATCCACTCATCCACTTGAGCATACTCATCTTTATAACACTTAACCTGATTTTATGCTTCTCTTTTAATGGCCAACATTCTATGTCATAAAGCATTGCAGGTCTTACCACCATCTTATAGAATTTTCCCTTAAGTTTAAGGGGGCACTTTTCTATCGCATAATAGGCCTGATGCATTCTTCCGCTTCAACCATCCTTGAATTCTACCCAAGTTATCTAAAACATGTATCCTTTTTAATGACCTGATGGCTCAAAGTTCACCACCCCCATAACTATATCTATTGCTACAAATATTACACTCCATGTATTCGTTTTAGATCTACTCAAACATATATAAAGTAATGATGGTAATTTATGTTGAGAATATAGCTATATGGCTTTATCAAATTCTGATTCTATATGATTATTAGCATTTGAATTTTACAAAACAATAGAGCTATTATTAAGCGAACGTGTTGATTTTCATTAAAATATTGAACTCAATGTTTAGGAATAATGTTATATGTTTAAATTATTAGCTTCCAATATATTATTAGTTAAGCTCCATAATGGCTTGAACCCAATCAGAATGTAAATAGACTGAGTTTGAACAAGATTTTAAAATATAAGACATTCATGCTTGACTTAAAATTCAATAAAAAGAATAAATGAGCGAACTTGAACAATCTATACTCAGCTCAGAATATTTACTTATAGCGCAACATGCAAGTATCTGACCAACCTGGAATGAAAGCCAAAATGCTGCACATTTTGCATGTAAGTGATAAGATCTCATCCTCAATGATAGATTTGTAGGACCCTGAAATGTTAAACAAGATAAGCTAGAATAAAAATGCAATTACAGACCTAAGAAAAATATTTGTTTTTTCTCAAACAAGTAATCAATAAAATCAAAGCTATTTTGCACCAAGGGCACAAATATTATTTAACATAACCGCATGCCTAGCTGAAGAGGTTAACTTTTTATTACATCAAATTACTCGTGCATGCATGTTGAAAAATCAAGTACAAAGACCAAAGATCTTCAAAAATACTGGAAAACGATCTCTACACAACCAATAAGCTGCTTAAAACATCCAACTAGATCCAAGTAAGCTTTGAAAATGGAAAGACAAGGAGAAGCATAGGAGTGCTTGGAATATTTGAAGAACAAATATTCATTTTAGCTCATCTAATCCACCTGCGATTTGTCTATTTAGTGGGGAGCAACACCAATGACCAAAGAAATAAAAAATATGGCAACAGTAATGAAGATTAATGGCATTTTCAACTCCAAGAGAAAATAAAAGCATATAATAACAACATAATAATAAAGTAACCTACCTCCTTGGTCAGCTTTACTTTGAACTCACTATCCATTCATTTGATTATTCTCAAGTTAAAATAGAGAAACCCTATACATGCTTGATTTAAACAAAACATGGAATCAATTTTAATTAGAGCATAAACATTAATAATCCTATGATGCACTGATGCTTCTCTTCAATCAGGAATGCAGTGTCCGACACATATCGGACATGACAAGCGTCTGACACTCCTTCGATACCGTATCAAAGAAGCTGAAGATGTGTCCGATTTAAAAAATATTAAAAATAAATTGGACATGTGTGTCTTAAATATTTC